GTCGGTAAGTGGTCAGCTTCTGACAAGTTGTGATTTTTATTTTTTTTTTCCGTTTCTTCCGTTAAGTGCAATTTTCATCTGTGATCAAACGTAGCTTCAGGTTCAGCTCGTTTTCAGGGTGAATCTGAAAAAAAAAAAAAAAGACGAAACCATCGACACAACTTCAACTCCTTCAAACGATGTTCAAATGGATTCTGGATCGCAGTTTATTTATTTTTTTATCTAGCATTTATTGGGCTTTCTTCTCTATATTTAAGCAGGAAAGCGCAACTTTACGAAACCCAATGACCTTGATGACCTTAACGACGGCCGGGTGACATCACTATTAGTATCATTTTAACGGTTCAAAAAAGGAGAAAAATCAACCTGTCATTTCATGCTGTTTAGATTTTTTTCCGACGTTGGGTTTTTACCCCGGCAGCAGCAGCGAATCAGATCGCTGCTCCAGTGATGATAAGAACTTTATCCCAGAGTCCGATTCCGCCGACCACCGTTAAGTACAGTAGGTATCGCTAACACTTCTTAAGTCTGTGTAGGTGATGACATCAGTAATAAAGTACGGTTGTGTAACCAACGCCTCGTGTCTCCGACATCATTTCAGTCCAAAGTCTGGTTTTTCTTCTGGTCAATTCAAACAGTCACTAACCAACAGTTACTGATAGCTACCACTAGGGGTGTAATTTTTCTTCCCCATTTTTAAAGTACAACTCAAACCATCAATCCATATTAATCAGTTAATATGGAAGTTTTGTGTACCAGAAGTGGACCCCTGGCCTGGGGTTTGTGACCAGTGATAGGAGGTGTGGACTACAGTACTGCTGCCGACTCAGTGAGTACTACAGTACTACAATACCCCATTCAATCGTGATGTAAAGAAAAGTACTTTTTACTTTTGACGTACTTTTGTCATCAAATGTAACCAAGCAAATATTCGCACATTAATAAGGAAGTGCTTTATGGTCTATTTTCCACTCAACAACACTGAACCAAAACTGCAGGTGAAACTCCTTCCACTTCCTGTCGCCCTGACTTTACTGACAGACAGCTGGTACAGACAGCTGGTACAGACAACTGGTATCTGACATGGACGACCAGTGAATCCAAGGTAGACTCCACCTGGTGTCCACTGGTCATATGACGTCCACATGGACGACTTGATTGTTGTCAAAGTTGTCTTAGAATACTACAGTATTCCTGTCAGCCTCTTTGTACTGTGATCCTTCCACCTCACCTACACATTTTCCATTATTACACACATTTGTGAAGTCGGGGCGAGAGCGATCTTAAATGTTTTTATCCGCGGACCCCGGTGAGGAATTAGCTATAATTGCTTTGGGAAACTGGCTTATTAAAAATTTTCACAACCTCGTCATAAAGGGACCGACCACAGGCTTCAAGTCTGGATCTCAACCCACAGTTTAAGACGCAGCCACGGAACGTTCCAGCTGAGTATTTTTATTTTTGTTCAGCAACATGTAGAAGAACCATTTGGGAATTTCCACGAAACACCAGAAAGTATTTTTGGGTTTTTTTTTTCCCTCGTGACAAAAATGATAAAATCTGAACACAGTTTTTTTTTCTGTCTCGCTCTTTTGTCGTGAGTTATTATTCTTTCGTTTTTTGAACGTCCCCTCAGCGCTGCGTGTCGACTCAGTCGCTCGTCTCCGCCTGTCAAACATGGTTACACCGAACGACTGCTTTTCCCAGGCTGCTTTTCTTCTACAAACATCAAGTCTTTGACACATGTTGCGCAGAGAGAACACAGACTCAGCGCTGCCTCCAGCTGGAAACATCAAGAGTCGCTCCTCTTTAACAAAGGCAGCCGGCGGCAAATCCACAAATACAAGGTGCTGCACTGCAATGGGAGGGTTTGGGGAGGGGGGGGAATCGAACCACATTACCATGGTCAGTGGGAGACTTCCAGGTTGGTTCAACAAAAAAATCAAAAAAAAAAATCCAACAAATCCCGTCCTCACACCCTACGCTGTGTAGCTTCATAATCTAATGAGGGTTTTGTAATTACATCGTACTCACGGGGATCGAGCTAATCAATTCTCTGGGAGGAAGAGATTTCATCACACAGAGCGACCGTGAACCAATGGCTGCGTGAACTGGTGTTGGTTCCATTGTTTGACATAACAGAACGGCTTCAGGTTCGGGTTCGAATAACAGACGTGAAAACTTGACGGACGCCGCCCTCGGAAGTGAGAACTGTTCTGATGTCCTTCATTAGCCCGAACACATCACACGTGAGACCCTCCTCATTACTGCTATTACTGCTGAAGTTGTTTACGGCCCACGGCTCTTATAAAAACACAGGCTCCGTCTATTAGAGTGTTTTATAGTCGTCTCAGGTCGGCTCTGTGCGGAAAACCCTGAGTACTGCAGTATCGAACTGACGGTGCTTTGTTCTGTCTCACTACAAGTACTTCATACTGATAATACATACAAAATATATACTAAATATATATGTATATGTGTATCATTTAAAACACTGTTGTCTCTTTTCGTCACTTAGCGTCATGTGATCCCATGGAGAACAACTGACCGACAACGATAAGCTAGTTTTCAAAATTTGTAAAAAGGCAACTAATTATTGACCTTAGGTCAGTGTGAGGGGTCCGTGGGCCGCAAGTGGCCCGGGGCAGAGAGTTTGAGACCCCTATGCTATAGTGTACTAGAAAAAGAGATAAATAAAAATCGTACCCAGATGCTATACAGAACCTTCACTTGCGCGGCTGTTTGTGTCTGTGCTCGTTTTTTTTTTAGCTTTGAGTGGCGCTAGCTAACATGAGTAAAAATATATTCATGGTAAAGTATTAGGTTGAGAAAATCAACACTAAAGACAAGTGAGGCATAAAGAAAAGCAGGGCAGGTTAGCGACGACATGCTAACAACAACGTACCAATAATACCCTGGTATTAACTTCTGTTTGTTCAGCAGCTCCTCAAACAACACCAGAAATTTTAAAAGACTTTGACTAAAAAAAAAAAAAAAGAAAACTGTACCTGTATTTACATATATAACTGTCTGTATTTAAACATACACTAGTGCTAAAGAAAAATTAGCAAAGTTGGTAGCAGAGGAGAGAGAGATTTGGAAAGCCTTTGTTAGCTCTTATTAGCAATTTGTTAGCTTCTTATTTAGCAATATAAAATAGGCTTCACTGTATGATAACAATGGAAGATCATAACATGATTATGTGTTTAGAAAAGTTCTATGATGTGGGCCACAGACCAGGAGGACTAGAGGAGACACCTGGTACTGTTTTTCCACTACATCATCCTTTTATACCTTTGCTTTAAAACACGTTATAATGTCATAATAAAACACGAACTTTGAGCGACTGCAGATGAAGTGAGTCTGAAGTTTTGATTCCATCCACCTTTTCCAATCTGCCCACATTTGGTGGTCATAAAAATTCCGAGAACAGAGTGAAAACATTAGGGCCTAATTCACCCACGCTTCCAATTTGAGCGTTCTATATGAAACAGAATGATATATCATATTACAATTTAGGCAATTAATTCCATGACACGTCATCCATCTTGGAAATTAGCACATCCAAATTAGCGTAGCAGCTCTGAACATGGTAATTGCCTCTGACAGGTGAAGTGGATTTCTACGAACATGAACAGCGTTTTCAATTTCTCCTCTTTGTCAGTTTTTCAAGCTCGTTAACTAGGGG